AATATTACGATAAATTTAGGTAAAAAGTTTTTAATAATGAAGGTTAAATTCTAAAGTTAAAGATATTTGGTATGATAGGATAAGACTATGTTTTTCTATTTAAAGTAAAGAAAATTGTATTTTGAAGTATTAAGAATTTTAGAGTTTCATGTAAGAAGAAAAGAATGAGACTTTTTGAAAAATAATAAAATAATATGAATTTATAAAGTGAAGAAAGGTATAGAGTTTTGACTTTAAGAAGAGGATTGTGAAGTTCAAAATTATTAAAGGCTATCCAAATATAGTAATCCTCACTTGAAAAAGGATAAGAAAAAGAAAAAGAAAAGAAAGGATTGAAAAGATCCTAAAAGAAAAGAAAAAAAAGAAAGAAAAAGAAAAGAAAAATAAGTGAGGAGAAGCTTGAGAAGATGCCTAATAAAAAATTGGTTTCACTTGAATCAACTTAAGGAAACAGCTTTATTACATTTTATAAACTTTTATTGAAGTATTAGTAGCATTCCTAATAAAGTTTTCATGAAGTTATTTTTCATATGAATGTTCTAAATGTCCTTAATGTGACAAATTACAATTCTTTTTGAAATGAATAGAGATTTAGAAATCTTAAATTTGATTACTAAGTATTCCTAGACTTCGAGTTTGATCTAAGTTATTAAGGGTTTTTCTTGAATTTTGATATTCTATTAATTAAACTAATTCTATTTCTTAAACATTCTATTTCTTAAACTAAAGTATAGAAGTTATAACTTAATCTCTATCCTAAGTCATATGCTTTTATGTAATAAAAGTGTCACTTGAGGACAAGTAACATTTAAGTTTAGGGGATTTGATACACCAAAATAACATACTATTTTAAGTATTTATTTTATGCTTATTTTTTGTGATATTACACTTTAAAGAAGGGAACTTTTGTGTTTTTGTTGCAGGTATATAATTTTTAGGCATTTGGAGCAAAAATGGTAAAAAGAACGAAATTTGGAGCCAACACAGCGTATTTTGGTATTCTAGCACATGATGCGCCAGATCGGCGCATTGCGCATGATGCACCAAAATCCAGAGAACTGGCACATGATGCGCCAGGGACGACTTTTTTAAATTAAGTCGGTTCGAGACAAACTTTGCGTGAATTTTCAAAGAGACATTTGTTATTCACACCTCTTGGAGAAATTCAATGCATTTAGATATTTTGGAAGGTTCTTTTATGAAGGGATATTATGAAGGGAGGAAGGTTCTTTTATGAAGGGATATGACTCTTGGATTAAATGACACATCTTTTGAATTCAAAAGTGTTGACTTTTAGAGGGAATTTTGAATTCTTTCCAAAGAAGACAACCCAAAATAAAAGAAGAAGACTTGAGGAGGCTTGAAGTGTGTGGCGTGAGAGAGATAGAGGGGAGTATGAGTTTGAGATAAAGAGAGAAGAGGAGATTTTCTTCTAGGGTTGTAAGAGAAGAAGGAATGTAAAAGATTTCTTCTTCATTAGACTTCTAAGAGAGAATTGGGAGTGATTGTAAAGAGAGAAAGACTTGGAGAGAACTTTTAAGGATTTTCTTGGGAAGGATTGTGAGATAAGTTGTATTTTTATTTCTTTCATTTTGTAAACTTATTTTTATATATGAAATCTGTGTTTTATTATATCTTTCTCATGAATTACGAGTAGTCTTCTTTATCCTTCTCACTACTTTAAGATATGGTTTTGTGAAGAATAGATTTTGTTTTCCGCGATTTTAAATGATAATAATTTGAACTCATTTTCATTTACTTTTCGATCTGGCCAATTGAAATGTTAAAACTTGTTGAGAGACATGTTTTTAAATGAGATATGATTTCTACAACATAGGAAGAACCACATTTAATTTCATGGGAGAGTATGTCATCCATGGGATTGGGTGCAAATAAATAGGAAAATATATTTTATTGGATGCAGAATTGGAGATTTTAAGGTGACAGATTAAAATCCCCAATTTGACCCAGTTGATTGGAAACTAATGCGAGATTGCTAGCCCTCAGGGGAGAGAGTAGTGTGAGCTCTGGAATGACAGTCGGCATCCTCCCAGCCTAACCACGGAATTAGGGACCAAACTTTAGATTAGTCAATGTTCTTTATAACACTCGGAAGAGGGTAATGAATATGATTGCTCCTATTTGGCACAAAACAATTTATATATATATTTTTTTAAATGATTTCAATTTCTTCACAATCTATATACTCATTGTAAAGGGAAAAGATGCTTTCTTAAATTTGAACTTTCCGTCACAACAAAAAATTTGTTTAATTTTTGTAATTTTACTTTTAAAAATTTAGTTTTTAGTTTAGTTTAACTTCTGTAGTCTTACATCTGCATTTTAATTTGCATTCACTTGAGTGGTTAATTTTCAAACTTCGCACTTTATTTTTACTTTTATTTTTTTTTTTTATAAAATAATTTTCATAATTTACGTTAAAATTTTCCAACTTTCTTATAAGATCGATATCTAGAACTCCATTAGAGCCCTTTATTACTTGAGTGATACGTATACTTGTGTTGATATTAAAAGGGATTTCACAGTTTAAAAAGAGTTTTAAAAGATAAATTATTTACATAAAAATTATTTTTGTTGGGATTATATTGCATATTTATTATATATCTGTCGTCTGTGATTTTGTAATATTGAAAAATATTTGCAAAATTGTCACACTAAAACGCCCTGCATCACCGCCGCCGGCCACTTTCTTTTAATTTTGAGTGTTAGTTCGTATTGTGAGCGAAGGAAGAGAATTCAAAGGAACTTCAAGACATTTGGTGGAGAGGATTTGAGATAACTGTTTATCTTTGTGACTACACTTGGTTTTAACCTATATTTCTTGTTTGTGTGCATGATTTCTACTTTCAAAGTCATGTGTGGTTGCATTTTCTTCATGAATTCTGAGTAGTTTTTTTTTTTTTTTCTTAAAATGATAAGTGATTAAGTGTTTAAAGGATGTTGTGTGAAGTATTAGAATTCAATGTTGGAAGAAGTTGCAATGATTTGAAACCTTGCACTTCATTTATTCCTTGATTTGACCAATTAAGATGTTAATACCTGTTATGAGAACATGACATGTAAGATCCGAGATGATATTTTCTCAGTCAATAAATTGTTAGAATCACATATTGATTTCATGAATGAGAGTGTAGTTCATGGGGTTGAGTGCAAATAAATAGGAAAATAAACTTCTTAAGGGTGTAGAATTAGAGGACTTTAGAGTGACAAACTAAAACCCCCAATTTGATTTATAGTTTTAGGTTTTGATATGAGATGTTAGCCCCTAGGTGGAGGAAGAAGAGGGAACTCTAGAATAAGAGTTAGTATCTTTCCCATCTAACCGGTCTTCAAGACTATTCAAACAATAGATTAGCCAATGTTCTTTATAACATCTCTAGTAAGGGTATAAAATATTATTGCTCTTATTTGACACGACACATTTAACATACTTCCACAATATACTTTTTATATTTATTACTGATTCATGATAAAGAAAAAGATATTTTATTTATATAGCCTTCATTTTGCAAATATTTAGTTAAGTTAATTAGTTGCTAACTTTATTTTCATAAATCAAAAATTACAAAAAGAATCGAATTTGCATTCCTATTATAGCCTCTTAAGTTTAAGTAAGAATATTTTAAGAAGTAAATTTTTGTGTCATCTAAACCATCTAAACTTTTTAGTTTCCTAAAGTGCATATTGTTAATCTCCATGTGAGTTCGATATTCGGGGCTTAATCAAAAAGTTCTATATTAATTGATAGCGATATGTATACTTGCGTAGTATCCCACATTTAAATATTATAATTGTATTCTTATTTGTTTAATAGTGGAAAACTTACTTAGCTTTTGCTTTGGAATAAGTTTTTGACTTTATTGCAAAATAATAATAACTATAAAAGAAATTAAGCGTATAATCACATACATTGCATTTTACATCTATACCGAATAATCGACATCAGAAAACCCGTAAGGGAAAAACCACGGGACCTATCCCAGTTACGGAAATCAACTATTGATTGATGACTACAAAAATCCCTTCTCCCATAGACGAGAAATGATAACTTTATTTTTTAGATTACAACATCGGCTGACGGTGTCTGGTTGGTAGTGATCGATGGTGGTTAGTGGTGGTCGATGACAGTTAGCGGAGGTCAACGACGGTAGGCGGTCGGCGGTGGTCGACGACGAAGGTCGGCGGTGGTTGACGACGATCGACGGTGATGTTGAGCTACTGCTTCTCCTCAATGCCTCAGACATTTTCTCTAGGTTTCAGCTCCCCCTCATGTGTTCTGAGTGCAATTAAAGCAGTAATATCAACCATTTTGATCGGACGGTCCAGAGAGTTTCCCTCGATCATGCGGCGTTTAATGGACATTTGAGTGTCTTAACAATGTCGAAATTGAGTGATCTCAGCCTCGTTGGATTTGTCTTGTCGATAAGCTCGATTCGAGTATAAGTCTAGTGTTGACATCTATTTGATCTTCCAAATGTGTCTAGAAATCTTTTAAGAGTGGTTTAATTACTTGATCTGGGCTTGATTTGACTCAGATTAGACAAGTTTTTATATCATTAGGGCTGTCTCATCGAGCCGGTCAGTTTGACAATAAGTTTGTTGAAATCGAAACTCTGGATGAATTTTTATTACTCAAAATATCATCTCGAGATCCATGTCATCTCTCAAAATTCGTGTCGGATTATAAAAATTTATTGGTGGTGTCAAAAACCATTTTTTATCCTTTACATATTAATTTTTTATTAAAACCCTTAATGCTAAAACCCTTAATGCTAAAATATAATTCCAAGATCATTCTTCCTAAAATTAGCATACTCCGAATGCGCATTTCGTGTTTTGACCGACCCGTGTTAATGAAGCTGATGCCCGTCTGATGAAATAATAATGCTCGGCCTCTGTTTTTTGGAAACAAGACAGTGTTAATTTACACGCAATAGTTATTTTCCAAAATTTTTGTAGAATTTTCTTAAAAGACAATCTTACCCTCCAGCGAAATTCGTGGAGATTATTTTTAGTTCTTCGGGTGCTCCGTAGCAAAATAACGTGATGTTTGGAGTGGCGCTGACAGAGGAGAAGAGAAAGCGCCCCTTCTATCTTCCCTGCGTTATCTGAACTTCGACTAGGATGAGTTTTTGAAGTTATGAAATGGTAATCTGGTTTATGGTCGATAAGCGGCAGGCATAGTTTTTCGTTTTAGGGCATATTTTCTTGTGTTTTGGTTTTAAGGTAACCTGTAGAAGGTATTTGATCGATCTCTGCTGAAGACGAGGCTTTGAATCGATCTCTACTTATTATACTCTTTCATTTCTTTCTTTTATTGTTTATGGATTTGTAGCCTATTCCCTTGCTCCTCTGTCAGATTTGATTTTTCAAATCGATAAGACTCGAGGAAATGATAAAAAAATAAGGGATCTCCAATATATGATTGGAATGTTTTCTGCCCTGGCTTGATAAATTATTAACATTCAATCCCTCTATTTGATTGTTTCCAACTTTTGTTTTGTTTTTGCCATATGTTTGTATCAACATTTTCTTCTTCTAGTTTTTTCTATACTGATTATCTGGCTATGTTATGTAACCATTGCTAATTAAATTCGGTAGCGTTTAACTATGATTATCCTTCTTAATTTTTTGCAGTTATTCTACAAATTGATTGTTGATCTGCAGGCTAATTGCCGAAATTTGTGGTATGAAAATTCTCTTTTCTCCTATTTTGAGTTGATTTCTCTCTGTTTACATGAATTTTCCTATCACTAATCGTGCCATCTGACTGTTTACCTTATGATTATCAAGAAAAATGTTTGTGGGAAATAATACGAGTTCGACTTTCCCCTTCTTCTTGGAGGAGAATCCACAGTACTATGATTCTAATGCATCTACACAGCTCCAGCTATTTGCAAACAGTAAGTAAAGTTTCACAAGTGATTTGCCTGCCAACTTTTTCTTTTATTTCTTTAAATTTTTCTTATTATTGCATTTCTACATGTTTGTCAAACCTTCAAGATAGAGAACAGTAGTCGATTTACCTACCTAAGGAGGATCACTATAAGCCTGAATGCATACCATTTAATTAATTGAATTAACAACGACTGGCAAACCTTATTGAGGTCCCTTGTTTCTTGGCAGGACTGAAGTTTTATTTTAGCATTTCAGTGCATTTAATTTATTTATTTTATGAAAGACTGTATTGTTTTTATGTTCATGTCTGAAACATTACCTTTTCATTAGTAAATATTTTTTATTTTTTATTTTTGCTGCGTGCTTAACTTGGTTTTAGTTCTCTTTTTAATCTCTTAGTGAGTCTGCCCAGATAAGATACCTACCATTATATTTTCCTTTTGTTTAACTTAATGATAAAAATTATGTTTCAGTGAGGTCAAGTCTTTGAAGGATATTTTTTTGGAAGATTTACATACATACCACTCAATTCCCATGTATTTACATATCTAACACCTAACCTTCAATTTTTGCATACACGCCACTCTACCTATGCATGAAAAGCGTATTTCACTTCTTAAAAGTTAAAATATTTGTATTTTAGATGTGAGATGACTGATTTGGGTTGTATAAATGTATAAAATAAATTTTAGGTATTATACATGTAAATAGTAAATACATAGGATTTGGGTGACATGTATGTAAATACCCCTTTTGTTTCCTAAGGGAGCACAATATACGCATTGTGGATCGTTAGACTTTTGGATTTACAAGTTTGATGAACCAACTCTAGGCGAAAATCTACATGTCATATTGGATACATCAATTGACACACTTCTTGAAGTAATAAAAAAGAAAAAAGAAAAAAAAGAAAAAAAAAAAACTTGTGGCATATATAAACTTTAGTCTAAATGCAGGCATGCCATATGTCCAGTATGATCATTTAATAAGCATTCCTTATATAGGGTGTGTATTTACACCTCTTACATATTTAGTGGTATATGCAAATAACAGTTAATCTAAAATGGAATGCATCCAGTTTCCTTCATTAAAAGACTGGCGCTCAACACATTGATTATTCTTAACATTAATGGTAAGTAGCATATTCTGCCAAATTAAATATTTAGCGGGATATTATGCTAAATTTATTTATTTTTTAAATAAAATACAACATGTGCCTATGTAGGAGGTTTGGCAGACTTCTATTAGTTTATTAAATAAAATAAAATAATGCAATATCCTTCTTATGGCTTACAACATGGTTTGGTCCGCCTGTTCTTCTTCTATTTGCAATCTAGATATATAAAAAAATTGAATATGTATGTTAAATGCATTGAAATATATCTATAATAAGATTATTAGGAATTGACTTGAGTTGCTTGAACAACAGTAGAGTTAAAAGCTATACATCAACATGAGACAGGAGCATGATACATTACGTCGAGTTAATTATATAACATAATTCTAAAAGTAGGAGATGACATGCAGTGAATGTGATATTCTTTTTTATAAATAATTAATTTGGAATGTATAATTAAAACATCTAATGCACATAATTGCTCTTAAACCATCACACAATTAACTTTGGTTTAAAAACCAGCACTGCTTAGCATTAATTTAATGCAGAAATTCTAAACCTTTATTTTTACATAGATAATGAAAATATACTTTTTGCTTGATGATGAAAATAACTTAAGATTAGTAGATTATGCATGGAAAATTGCTAAACCTTTATTATTGAAAAGCAACGTCAAGATTTTATTTTTATTTATTTTATGTTTGCAAAAAGTGCTTCGAAAAATTTGATGTGGAATAAATTTTTAAATATAAATAAATTTTTTTATGTTAAGGAAAAAAGAAAGAATCATAAAAAGTAACATTGGTTTAAATAAGATTACATTTCACCATTTCATGAATTAATTAATCTTGAACTAAATGCCAACATTATCATTAAGTATTTGACATGATTTTAATAATCTACCATCTATATAAAATATCAAAAGAAAAAAATGAGTGCAATGTCTTAATAAGTTTGAACACATCGATGTAGCATGAATTTTATTCGATAAACTCAACATGTGACAACTATCAGCCGCCCAACCAAAAACTATGTTTCTTTTCCAAGCTAACTCATGATTTAATCTTATTTTTGAAATAAAGCACATTTGATGCAATTGATGTGCTTGCTAATATAGGTGGCATGGGGCTAGGCAATAGTTGCACCATAAAGGGATGTGTTGAAACATTATTTGAGTTTATTGTTGGTGGATGAATGACATAGATCCTCCAAGATCTCTAACAATACATATGTTATATGTTTAATAGCATGCAACTGTATGTTGATATAACACGCGTATGTCTTGTGTCTCTTGTTCTATGGTCATCAAATTTTGATGCAGTTAGACCGGAATCTTATGCTTTAGCCATTGCAATTGCCAAAGCTCTGCCAACCCAACTGCTTGCATCCTTAATGTTCCAATTAAGAACTAACAGATCTCTTTCCCAACGTCCAAGAAAAAAACAATGAACAACTTGACTATTTTGATGTGAATTTGCGGAACTCCAATGATAGAGAAAGAAGTAATGTGTAGAAAGGAGGGCACATTATGTTACATTGGTGCCTATCCCTAATGGCAATATTGTCTTTTGTACTAGTAAGGGAAATTTAGTCTTTTATTATTATTATTGTTGTTGTTATTGTTGTTGTTGTTGCTGTTGGGTCTAAATGACTTATGATGTTTAGGGCTAGGTTTATGCTTGAGATTAAGTCTTGTATCTTAGGTTTAGGATTCCTACCATTTGAATTGTAGGAATTGGGAGAGATCGCTTAACTCTTGAATTTTATGTGTTTATCTTTTATATTTGTGTGAATTATTAGTGTTTTTTTGCTTTGATTTGGTGTTCGAAAAATATAATTTGCATTTTCCCTAATTTTTTTGAAAAAATGTGTTGATTTTGACATAAGATCGTATTAAATTATTATCATAGTAAGTTTTATGTGTCAGATTGTGGATCGAGAAGCAAAGGATGGGATAATGACATTCAGGCGAGTTGCAAGAGCCACAGATCTGACATACAATGATGGAACCAGTGATAGGAAAGCATCCTCGTCGTTCGGGAAGCTGCGTATAGAGACTTGAAACTTCGTCTTCGTTCTCTTCAGCTGGAAGGGCAAAGGGGCGATGTGAACGTGGCGTGCAATCGAACAAGCGGAATGCATCAACAAGATCGCGATGCCCAATCCTTGGTATCGAATGGATTAGATGCGCCTTTCTCCTTTTGCTGCGTCCGAACGATTCTGACATAGTTAGAGCTTGCTGAGCAGGTAACATAGCGGTGTACAAGAGTTCCACGCTGTTTTGATCGAAAACAAGAATTGGTATCGTGGCGTAAATGAGTTCTACGCTGAACCTGCATACAAGAATATGGATCATGGTGTTTGGAGTTTTGCGCAGTGTGCAGAGTTTCGCGCGACTTGCAAGGGCTAAACCGTATACTAGAATTCAGTGTTTGTGGCATCCAGAATTCTGGGCACGTTGAAATCGCATAGAAATTCCGAAGCTCAAGCTCATGATTTCAGTTTAAAGGAGTTCCGAAACTGTACAATGAGTAATGACAGCCAAGAAAATATATGATTTAGAGAAAAAATAGAGGAAGAGAAGTGTCAACATAAATTTAGGAAGGAAGAAATATTCTTTATCATAGATGATAGGTTTTTTTCTCCGGAAACTGAATGGAGGGCCATCTGGAGAGGTTACCTTCCATTGAGAACCGAATGAAGGATCAATTTGATAGTCTTGAGGAGATGATAAAGAGGCTCATTGAGATGCAATTCAATACCCCACCAGTGGCTCCATTTGCAAACCCTAACAAAAGGTTAATCCGAGAATCTGTGGTCAGATCGAAAGGGAAATTGATTGAATATGAGGAACATGAGGACAAAAACATCCACCATCACGAACTTCCCCTAGGACTCCGATGGAGTTGAATTAGAGATTTAGGGTCAGTTTGGGGCAGCTGCAGCTCATCCAACTCATCCAAATAAGCAGTTTATCCTGATAAATTGCAGATCAACATCTTATCCTGATAAACTGACTGGCTGTTTGTGAACTTATTCAAAACAATTGATTTGCAGCTGTTTGTGGATAAATGACAATTCTGCCCCTGTTAAGTAATGTTGTTTGTAACAGAACTGCCTTGACAATATATTCAATACTGCAGAAGCAGAAGCAGAAGCAGATGAGTAAATTCTATTTTTGAGAGTGTATCTATGTTTTGAATCTTCTTATTTTTTTATCCCTAAAAGCATCCCTAACCCTAAAAGCCTCATCAGAACACTTTCATCATGCTTAATGAGCTAGACACAGTTTTTCATTATAATATATAAGATTGTAGATCAAAGATACAATTTGACGTGGCATTGGTCATTGGAAACTAATGGTTGTTTAGCCATTGTGCAGATGTTATGAAGAAGATTTGGTGCAACTTTAAGCCAGAAAATACTTTTTGGATGCATACAAACAATTAGGAATTATAAATCTGATCAATACAAAATTTATTAGAATTTGAACTGACCATACATAAGATTAGAAACCATATATATAACGTTCAGTTGGCAAATTTTCTAATTTTACAAGCCAATTCTTATATATTCACATACCTAACATCTAAACTTCTCTTTCTTTTTTAAACCATTATACCACCAAAATCTTTTATATTACAATAGCAATACCATCATCTAAATTTTAAAAAGAGAAATAAACTCATTCAAGCATAAACAAGGTGATATGTAAAATATAAAGTTTTGGGTGTTATATATGTAAATTCATAGGAATTGAGTGGTATGTATGCCCGATCATTCTTAAAAATCGGTCTTTTTCATAAGCCAATGTCTTTTTTCATAAATCAATGACTTTTATCCCTTTGGATAAACCAATTTTGAGCAAATATAAATTAAAGTTTTAGG